TTTTGATTACGCTGCGCCGAATCGGGGATAATCTGGTTCATTAATGCTGCCATATTTGCTCTTTGTTTAATACAAGCAACTTACAATCCATATTTCAGCCACAGCCACATGGCGAGTGCCTGTCATTCATGCGAGGAGAGAGAGAGGGAGGGAGGGAGAGGGTCAGGGAGGGATGGAGGGGGAGGGGTAAGGGAGGGAGGGAGGGAGGAGAGGGAGGGACAGACGGATGGATGGATGGTTGGGGGAAGGTAAGGAGGGGGAGGGTTGAAGTAAAGGAAAGAGGGAATGTGGAAGGGAGGGAGGGAGGGAGGGAGGGACACACAGAGAGAAGAAAGGATGGAGGGAGGGAGGGAAAAAAAAGACTCTCAAACTATGTTACAAGAAAGCGTGGACTGTGACCCGTTTATCGGAAAGAAAGAAATCGAAAATGTTTTTTTTTTTTTTTTTTTTTTTTTTTCTCGCATTGCCAGGATCGCGAGAGGGACTGCGCAAGGGAAAGGGCTCGAGGAAGTGTTTACAAGTGCCGGTAATGGCGTGATGAAGAATTTCCTGATAATCCCGCCCCTCCCCGCGCAGTCGTTAATCCCGGCGTCGCGTTACCCACCCGAGCTCCTTCCCTTATCTCTATAACTTAATACCGCTCAACAGTTTTACAAGCGATGCTGCTGAATATGCGAGATCCATCCTTGCAAACTTGACAGTCCGGCGGAAGGCTTTTTGTGCGGCTGTATAAAAATGTAGGATGATCAGGTTTCTGGGCCGGGCTGACAGATGGCAGGCAGGGCGGCGCTGGTGTCTCGAGCCTGTGTGTTTATTATCCCGCCATCCCGGTGATCCCGGGCCGGGCCGCTCGCTCTCCCCTCGCCCCTTTTATCACTATCAATCTTACATCAAACCCTTGATGGTTATATCGTGTCTTATCTGGGGATAAAACGACAAGACCCTTTTGCGATTTGCCTGGGACAGGTCGCCCGAGACTCGGAATCTGGTCCAGGGGTCGCGTCCGAGGGCGCGGGGCCGCCCATTCACAAGCCGAAAGAGAGAGTTTTCGCTTCAGGTGTTGCGAAAGAATCGCGTTTCGGTGAAATTGGTTTAATGTATCAACTGCAGTAATTGAAAATAAAAAAAGTAATTAAAAAGTTCCCAAATCATCGACTTCCGGTCTCCATGACATAGCCCACATTAAACTGTGTTGATCTTTACACTGGCAGTCGAGGGCTTTGTGTCTCGGCATTATGGCCCCGTAATTACCGGTTACATCAAAATGCAGCTCTTTCGCAGACTTCATATAAGCAATTAAAGGGTGTCTCAGGGCATGCGCAGACGCTGCACTGCGGTCTAGGCGGTCGGGCGACAGTTCATTCGGGTTTTGTCGCTGTTATATCATGCATATGGTGTGTCCTTGTCTCCTCCTCAGCTGTGTCTCAGCCTTCTCCTTGGCGATTCTTTCCTCTCAATGATTGATGTGACTTGTCCCTCTGATTGCCTCGCCTTTCCCTCCTCCTCCTCCTGTCACATTCCCCGGCCTGACCTCCCGCCGCCCTCCGCCTCCTTTCCCTCGCCGTCAGTTCCTTTCGTGTTCGTGATTCCTCCTCCTCCTCCTCTCTCCTCGGCATCATCATCATCCACCTCACTTCCCTTTCATCGGCATCTTTCCGCACCCCATCTCCCCCCTTTTCCCTACGCCCGCCTCTCACGTGCCGCAGATAACTGAACATTTTCCACTTTCAGACTGGTATCAGGGTAAGCCCCGCAGTGGCCTCCGCCGGACCTTCCGAGCATCAAGAGCGCGACTTAAAGTAGGAGTCGCAGCCTCTTTATGTTTCTCGAGAGTCGTTGTGAAGGCGGACTTGGCCATGGTCTCTCTCTCTCTCTCTCTCTCTCTCTCTCTCTCTCTCTCTCTCTCTCTCTCTCTCTCTCTCTCTCTCTCTCTCTCTCTCTCTCTCTCTCTCTCTCTCTCTCTCTCTCTCGAGCGCCCTTGCCCTAACCCTGGTACCCTCTCCCGAGCCCTGCTGTCGCTCCCTCTGACGCTCAGCGCCTCGCCCTTCATCTCCGCTTCAGCCCCGACTCTCATTGCTCTCCTTTGCTTCATGCCGACTCCACACTCAGTCCGACCCGCCTCAGGGGAGGGATAAAAGTTGTGTTTTAATTAATTACTGATGGTTCACGCCAAACTTAGAATATGTATGTGCACACACACACACCACACACACACACACACACACACACACACACACACACACACACACACACACACACACACACACACACACACACACACACACACCACACACACACACACACACACACACACACACACACAACACACCACACTATATATATATATATATATATATATATATATATATATATATATATATATATATATATATATATATATATATATATTACATAGAATAGAAACACACGCTTGTTGCACATTCACAGAAACCCCTATTTAGACTATATGTTTGATTCCGTGTCTTTGCGGGTGAATCGCCGCCGTCGGTTCCGCGTGTTTCGTCGCCGCCGCCAAGCGAAATCATGCAAGGGGCTTGTGCATGAGAGCAGCCCTTCTCCTGGTGCTCATGGCCATGTCAACCGTGTAACAGTAAGCGGGGTAGACATGTACACGTTCCTGTAGCAAGAAATTTTAGGCAATTTGCACAATCTTTATGTGCTCTATTACCTCATGCACAGGTTTTTATTTGCATTTAGATTAGTTGGCGGGGATGCCGGGGTTTTTGCTGCGGTTTTATCAGCGGAGTTAACACGGACAAATGTCACGGCTCATAGCGGCGTCCGTGGCGTTCACACGGCACCGCGGCGCAGAGGAACGCTCGCCGTGGTCGCGCAAGGGGGACAGGATGCGTCGACTGCTATCGAGGGAGGCAGAAGGAGTCACGCAGCGATGTGGGGGCGATGGTGGGGACACTTGGGGGAGGCGGGGCGGGGGGGGGTGCTTCAGTGGGGAAAGGGGAAGGGTGGGGGAATGGGTAGGAGGAGGGGAGGGAGGGTAAATGGGAGGAGGAGGGGAGGAAGGGTAAATGGTGTAGGGGGAAGAAAGGGGGAGGGGAAGGGGAGTGAGTGAGGGTAAATGGGGGAGGGGGACAAACAGGGAAAGGGAAAAACAGAAGGATAAGAAGCGAGAAGGGAGGGTAAATGAACGTAGGAAGTGTGGGTGTGGCGGCGCATAAAGAACGTAAGAGCTGAAGTAAAGGAAGGAAGGGGATGGCGAGAAATTTGAAGACAAAAGCCTGGGGAAGGAAAGTGGGCAAAGAGAACCGTGATGATTAGGAAGATATGTTTGCCATATCAATAAGTGAATGATAAACAATGCATAAGCAGCGATGTCTTTTACCTGTTCTTTTATTCATGTCACAGAAACAAAACTGAAAAAATAGAACGTAAATTAAATTTATAAAAGATAGTAATGATAACCAAAGGAATTGTGATTTTTCAGAATATAAGTTCGAAAATGATGATAGGATTCTCGGAACGCCTTGTGTGTTGTGATCACTCGAGAGAAAATATCTTAATCGATTTGACCAAGATAATAAAAGCCTCAACAGATAAAAGCTTTCATAAACACTGTCATTATCTAGATCGATTCCGAAGAGGAGAGAAAAAAACTATTGTCTGGATATCACTTTTCGATTCAAATTTCACAGATCCGGCTGTCTTAAAATTCACCCGACTAAAATGGCTGTCATTGTCTGCATTGATCATTGTATTCTATGACTTACTTACTGAGGAAATACGTACATTGTGCTTGAATGATGTAAAGGTCTCCCAAGGCACGCAGAAAGTGGAGGCAAGAGAAGCGAACAGAAATGTAAGTGAAAAGTTGTAAAGTAGTTTCTCGTAGCCGAAGAGATCAGCGTCTCTGCTCCTCTGGACACGTGCATAGTCTGACGATTAATTATCCAACGAGATTATTCGTTTAAATTTCTCCAAACGTAAAGAAAGATATAAATAAAAACAACGTTTCTGATCATAACGGCCGACTTCAGGCAGAATTCGCACCTTGCAATCTCCGGATAAAAACAAAAAAACAAAACAAAAAAACAAAACAAAAAAACACACACGGCATTAGAAAGCTGATGGTGAGATGGATGTTCATTTTTGAGGTCAGAGGTCACAAGCCAATGATAAAATATACACTTTTAGAATATGAAGTTACGTTGACGCCCGTGAATACTGGAAGTGTGTAGTCTGGTTGTGTGAGTGTTAAAATGGGGTAAAAACAGAATTTAGAAATAAACTTACGATAAAGATAGACGTGAAGTAAGGATGACAACTTTTCTTGATCTCAAGTTCGTGATCATGTATATGCTCAGTTTGACTTGCCCTAATGGCTATGTGGAGGTTGAAAGGCGCTCCTCATATGTTGTAGGTAAACTGAACTGCCTGAGAACAATACGACGCCTTAGTTTGATGTACGTCGATAATTATAGAGAGACAGCATGGGACATGTTTCAACACACGGGTTAGTAAGTAGGTAGTTTAGTGACACGTAAAAGGTAAACAGTTCCGTAGTTCAGGATTAGTGGCATGTCCCCAGCCAGCCCCAGAGAGCGCGTAGAGGCCGGTCAGGCGGCGAAGGGGAGCGCAGGCATGTTAGCGAGCGTTGAGGCCGTGAGAGCGGTAGGTAGAGACCTGTGGAGCCCCGGTGTAGGTGCCCAAGCGCAGCTGCGCAGGTGTAGCTTCCCTGGTGTAAGTAAGACATGACGGTGTGTAATACCTTCCCTGCTTCTTTGCCTAACACTGCAGTCATCCCAAAGTCACATTAACCCCTGAGGTGCGGCTCCCGCGTGGTGGGAGCGCGCCACCCTGAGTGAATAACTGCCATCACGCTCAGTGCTTCATGACTATAGATTTAAATTAAATTTTGATTTTTCATGAAATAGCTTTTCCAAAAGCTATGACTGATGATTATTTACTGTCATTTTAATGATTTCTTGAGGAGCTTTGCGTGACGTACTGGTGTATATTTACAGGTCCGGCTCCAGAGCTCCTAACGTACTGGGGCCACCCCCTACACAAGGGAGGGGCCCGCCCCCACTTCCCTACGTGTTGATGTATGTATCCAAGCTTTGGATATTGTTACTTTCTGTAGCAATACACTTATGTAGGCTTGACATGAAATACAAAACTGAAATACAATTACTTTATTTTGTCTAATAATGCTAATAATCCCATGAAGCAATTTGAGTTAGTATTTAACTGTTAGAATTTCGATCAGCTCTCCTGAGCAACCATTGGTATTGCACATCCAGGTCTAGTTGGAGGCCCCTGTAACGGTGTCCTAACCCCCGCCCTCCCTCCGCACTTGCCGCCTCAGCCTCCCCTAAGCCGACGCCAGGTGCAGCGGGACAGATGCATTCATTCACCAGAGGCCCAGCGTTGCATTCCTCCTATTTAATATTCAAAGACTAAGGAGGGCCTAGCTTTGCGATACATCCTTTGTGTGATCCTTGTGTGCGAGGGAGTGTGTGTAACATGACGCGGTGTGACGTAGCCGAGGTCAGCAGGTAAGGTTACGGTTGCGGTCCCGGGGCGGTCCACTATCTTCCACGCCATTACCTGCGCCGCCTCCGATTTCTTTGCCTGTGGCGCAGGCTTTAGATTAGAACTTGAGATTTGTTTCTAATTTTACCGTAAAGTCTGTCGTTGGTTTGTCGTTTGCTTTTCTTTTCTGCAATCCGAGAAAGTGCCTTGAGAGACTCGCCGGCGCTGCTTCGCCAGGGCCCACAGAGGCGTCCGCGCGTCGCCGTCGCGCCGCGATGCCCGAGGACTGGGGCGGAGATGCCGTCCGAGGCAATGAAGCGGTCAAGCCAGGCTGATACCTGATATTGGCTACTAAATGGCTACTGGGGAGAAGCTCCTCCGGCCTCGTCTCCCCAGACCACCAGCGGGAAGAACACCTGTCACATTTTTATAATTCACTTTAGGATATTTTGCCGAGAGGAGCTGGTCGGCAGTGTGAGAGGGAGGAGAGGTGGGTGGCCGAGGAGGCCGGCAGGGAATGCGGGAGATAAGAGCCCAGGGCAGAATATTGAATTAAATAAGTTCTCAGATAGAGATTACGGAGAGACAAAAAGCCAGATAAGGCGCTCCAGGAAACCGAATGTTGACAGCTACAACATAATCATGTAAAGAGTAGATAGAGGCTGGGCGGGAGCACTCAGCTGATACCTGATACGGGGGACCTAATGGTGGCCTGTCCGAGCGTGCAGGCGGCGTGCCGGCCTGTCCTGAGAGTGCAGTGCCGGGGCTGTCCTGCGGCCACGGTGCTGTCCGTCCTCAGGCTACGGCGACATCCTGCGTCCGTCCCTCCCTCCGATGTCACTCGCCGTGGCCTCCGCTTCTCCTCGCCGGCCGTCTTGTCGCGGTCGCTGGTCCCTCCAGCTTCTGTCTCACCTTGCGCTTGTCCTGCTGCGCCACCGAGGTCCGATCTTATCTGCCGTTCCTCCTCCTTACGTCCTTTTTTATCTGCGGTTCATGTCTCCTGTCCTGCGCCACCCTGAGTCTGCTTTTCCGTACGTTCATGTCCGCCTTTCGTGCTCTTCCATCCCATGTGGTGCTCTGCCTTCCTCTATGTACTCCATCGAATGCCTTTCCCCTCTCTCTCCTCCCTTTACTCCCCTCTTCCTCCTTCCCCCTTCCCTTTCCCTCTTCCCCTTCCCTTTCTCCCCCTCCTCCCCTTCCATCCACTCTTCCCGTCCCCGCTCTCCCCTCTTTCCATTCCCCCCTCTCCTCTCCTTCCTTTCTCCCCCTCTCCCCCCATCCCTTCCTTCCCCTCTTCCCCCCCCTTCCTTCCCTCTCCCCTCCTCCCCTCCTCCCTCTCCACACTTTTCCATTACCCCTAAATGAGGCGACCACAGGGTTAGCATGCGATTGTGTCCCATTTTCCAGCCATTCCGCAGTCCGAATTAATATTTTGGGGCCGAGGTTTCCATACATAAAGTGAGCCTTTGAACAGCGTGGAGTGACATAACGCCGCGGGGAGAGCTCGGGCGGGAGAGCGCGATGGGAGGGGCGAGCGAACCGACGGCAAAAAAACAGTCCGACCGCCACAGAGAAATGACCACCGCGCGAGTCCGACTCTTTTCACTTCTCATATATCATATTCGGAGAGGAGGGGCTGAAAGGGGTCGTATTTTTCGTGAAAATAAAGCGTCTTTATCCCCCAAATGTGACACGCGCTTCTGAGCCGCAAATCGCATTATCGAGTTAGTAAAGCAAATGGAAACATCTGGCCGGCCGAAACGTCGCTCTTTTGCGCTTTTTGTTGCCACAGAATCAATTGGTTGATAGAGGAAACAGTGAGGTTATAATTGGCTGCTGTGGCGGCGGGGGCGGGGCGATGGGCGCTGGAAAGGGACGTTTTGAACCAATCGTGGATCTGCATCTGGCTGTGCTTTCGTGATTATGATATTTCGATTCCAGCGAAATGGATTTGTGAAAGCGGGCGCGGCGAGGGCGGCCTGGGGTCCGCGGGCGGCGAGGGCGCAGCGGGCGGGAAGGTGCTTAGGCCTCCCTTGGCCTTCGCCGGAAACACGCTCCCACTTCTGTCAAAGAGATGCTGACTCATGCTATTATAACTAAAACTGAGGGATCAATAACACCGAGCCAACATTTTTTTCACGTTTTTACTTTAGACACGTACGAACCTCATTAACGGTCTTGGAATACATTAGTGGCAAGAGAGAGAAAAAAGGCTTGGATGGACGGCCCGCTCTGCCCCGAGGGTCGATTTTTGAATTAGATGTCAGAGCTCAGTTGAATCAGTTGGCATTTATATACTACTACTGCTACTACCGTTACTACTAACTACTATTACTATTAAATAAACCCAAAAGTAATTTTCAATAACCGAGTTCTCAGCGAATATTATTTGAATTAGATGTCCGCACAAAGTTGAATCAGTTTGGATTCATATACTACTACTATTATTATTAAAGAAACCCAAAATAAATTTCAATAACCGAATAAGCGAATATTTTTTTAATCAGATGTGAGCGCACAGTTCAATCAGTTTATATTCACGTTCTACTAGTTCTATTACTATCATCATCATCATCATTACTATTAAAGAAACCCAATAAATATCCGTCAATAGCCTCCGACTTCCGAATAGTTTCAGCGCCGCCCTTCCGCATGGCACGGCTCGCATGACACCCAGCGCCGCCCATGCCATGCCAGACGGACAAAGACTCGGCAGATCTCTCTCTCGTCAAAAAAGCGAGTTGGCCGCATCTGCTTTGGCCGCTGAGTCACGCCCGAAATGAGCCCCGCACGCAAATCAATATGGAGGAAATCCACGCTTTACGTTTTTCAATTACAACCCTTCGCGGCAGGACAGCAAACGCGCCACCTCATCGCCTTAATCATTAATATCAATATAGTTGTTTGGGAGCAATCGATATTTGGTTCATTTTTACTGCATGGTTTAGGTTGTGGATTGAACAGTAGAATAATAAATTGGTAGCTTTTGTTTTCATTTAGCTTGGGTGGGGTTAGGGGAGGGGGGGGGGGTATGTCCGTATGTACGTGTGCACATAATTTCGTACCTTATTTATTTGACTGTTTCTTCTGTC